GGGGGGGGGGGGGGGAGGAATGGTAAGGGAGGAGCAAAGGGGGAAAATTTAAGCGGGGCTGTGCTTGAAGCACCTCGTGATCAAAGGGCTGCAGACGATACCAGAAGGAAAGAGGCTGTAGGAAAGTGGGCGTTCACGAGGGTATGCGTCCATTCCACCTTGCTTCGAGGTTCGCGTACCTCAGACAGACCTTCTGATCGGACTTGAAGTAATGGGGAATCTTCATAAGCGCCTTCATGTCCAGGTCCACGTATGATACCTGGCGGTGCCAAGTCAGCGATCATAAGAACCAGAGCAGAGTGAATGTCAAATTGTCAGTTCCTTTCTCCAGGAAAAAAAAAAAAAAAACACATCAACTGCTCCTCTCCCCCCGTTTTTCTAAACTTTTTTTCCCCTTTTTGAGGCTTTTTCCTTGGTCGTCCTGTTATTTTCCGAAAAAAAAAAAAAAAAAAAAACATCAACTGCTCCTCTCCCTCCGTTTTTCTAAACTTTTCCCCCCCTTTTTTGAGGCCTTTTCCTTGGCCGTCCTGTTATTTTCCGAAAATCCGAAAATGTTTTGCAAAGTTGCAAACTCTTTTTTTTTTTTTCCGTCAACTTGTCGAACAGTCACAACCCGGCCTCTGTTTCTTTTCTTTTTTTTTTGAGCCTTCGGACTTTTCCCAACAACGACCAGACCGCAAGGAGCTTTAGTTTGAAAATCATCGGAAATGTGCATAATATCTGTGTGTTTGCGCAGGAGATGATATGTGAGATGAGATGATATGTGAGATGATATGTGAGATGATACGTGTTACTAACTTACTAGGAGTTATCGAAGTTAAGCCAGACTCATCACTCTGACATATTGGACTGGGCTTGGAGCCTTAGCTGTGAATCTGTGATGGCGTCGAAAAACACGTCGAGAAAAGTCAATCCCTCACCACTGGGCAGTTCGACACGAAATGGGAGGATTATCTTGACAACAGGTAGGCCCTAGTAGTACTATTATGTGCAGGCACAAGGTGTGCAATTCCAGTTCTGAATATCGGATTCTTTCGGGGCGAAAAAACATAATTGGTGCTACCTTGCAGGGATGGTGTGAGTGAGTCAGAATTCAATGTTGCGCTGAATGTGGAGCTCAACGCGATTCGCCAGGTACGAAAACAATAAGCTGCTTCATCAAATCAAAAGCGATTGCGGATACAGGGAATCGAACCCTTATCCCCTGCTTGGAAGGCAGACAATTTTACCTTTACTCTGTCCACTCTTTAGTATTTACATAGTGAATTGAGATTGACATTGCGACTGCTCCAAATCTTTGACATGGGGCCCAGCGCAGCTATGGGTGGGCACTGCCTTCCCTCTTCGTCACGGGGTGCTGTTAGCACTGCCCCCCCTCATGCCCTTGTGCGCCCACCAGCGTTGTCGAGCGGGGATCCCCGGGGGCAAAGCCGGTGTGAGGCTGCGGCCCCCGGACCCCCGCCGCGGGGGCCATCCAACCCCGCCACCGCCGGACGACCCCCGCCGCCGCCCAGCCCCGGGTACCCCGCCGCCTAACCCCGCAGGCCCGCCACCGGCCCCGCAAC